TCAAAGTTCATGTGAGAGGAATGCTCCGGGACTCGAACTCGAAATGGGCAAGAATAACAGCCTTTTATCCCTACATCCTCTGTATCGCAGGAAAAATCTTCAATGGATTTTTTGTAAGTTTCAGGACAACAAATACCAATTGCGTTTTTAATGGCTTTCAGTATAGTATGATTTGACAAACAGCAGAACAACATTAACAACATGTAATTGAATAACAACTGGTACATAATTATGAGAGGCCAGTGGGAGACTTAGAACAACAAATGAGACTTGTGACGAAGCCAATAAACAAGGGGGATTAAGTTGTAATAACAAGCTGAAAGCGTGCTTTTATCCGTATTGGGTATCTGTATGATATGTGTTTTCTAATATTTTCATTTGACCTCAAACTCTGGTTTCCAGATGTCTCCGGAACTTCTGCGTGCTACGTAGAAGGGACAAACAACAAGAGTATGATATACTACATATGCTGCAAGTGAACGTGGACAACGGGAGATATCTTGTGATCACCATAGCTCCGCACATACTAACTCACACGACTTGGACACTCACGTTTTATTATACACTCTTCGAAAAAAGCAAAGAAAACGAAACGTTGTTGCAGGAGGAAACACGATTCATCGCTGAACCAAACGCGTTACCAGTTCCCCGGGTTCCATGCCTGTACCCTGTTGCACAATTGGAATCGTCGTTGTCGGTGTAGTCGTGTCAGGACAGGTCCAACGTTTGGTCGATATGCTCGACTTCTCTCAAACAATGTATGATGGTTTGGTAGGAAATTCTTCGAAAACCAGGCACCTGTCCATTGCTGTAGAAAACCGGTGACATAGGTGAAACATCGGATGAATTGGTCCTGAGCAGGAGTGGCCACTCTTGGTCTTCCACTTCTGGGACGATCTTGTGTCGAACTGAAGCGGGTATATTGAAGTCATGATCGAGATATGGTGCTGTGGTGGACGTTGAAGTGTTGAGGATTTCTTATGAATGTGGAAAGGGTTTTGTCGCTCCTATTGCAACAACAGGCTGGGACTCCCCTGCTTCCAAACGTCCAATGGCGATATTTCGGTCAGCAGCATTCAATCTTGGAATTTTTTATCTATCCTAAATTTCGTGATGAAATGATGAATTTGGTTTGGCCTTTTATAGTAGATGTCTCTACTCATGTTTCCGACACGTTGCACGTGCATTTGGTGGAAACTTCTTCTGCATGCATATTTCACGTATCGTTTTAATTTTTTATGACAAACGTTTACAAACATATTTTGGGATGAGTTTGCGCGCAATACACAACAACCACGACATGATTAGCGGAATTCAAAGATAGGAATTGTCTTCATGACAAAATATATCGAAATGAACTGCTGCTTTTTTTTAAGAGTGTATTTTGCCTAAAGATTAACAGTTTGTGGATTATTATATAGCATTAATTGTTTACATTTTTCTATTGTTGGATAGGATGCGAAAGTACATTGGAAGGATATCATGTCTTATTTTAGCATATAATGAACACACTAAACAGAAGTGATCTTCAGATTCTACACAGGGAATAACACAAAAGGGACAGAGTCTTGCACTTCGATCTAAATCTTTCATCCCTCTTCTACCAGCAGAATATGGTTTGAGCAACGAAACTTAGATAAGGCGATCCTATACCCAGGAACAGTAATAATAGATAAATATGATTCAACTAAAATTTTAATGGTCCTAAAAATGTCTAATTTAGATATCTTGCAAATACTTTCAAACCAACTCTGTTTATCTAGCATAGTACATCTTTCTCTAGGATTGCTCCAAGGCTTACTGAATGCTGAGCACATGGATGTACAGTATTTCTATCCCTCGAAGAGTCAAGTCTAGATAAGCGGACACTACAAAGGACCCCAGTCTGTTATTTTTTATTTTTTAGAAATTATCAATCGATTTAGAAGATCAAGTTTTACTTTAGAGTCTAATCTTTCTTTAAATATCTGAAATAAAACATTCGACACATCCAACATCCTGATTTACCCATACATAACCAAAACCATAACTAAAAAGCAACTTTTTAACGCTCAGAGCCCAACACTTCTTCTTGCTTCTGCATGTTAATGGGAATAACTTGCGAACTTACAGAAAGTGTAAGGTCTCCCATGCTGTAGAATTTTATGTAAAAAATGTTATCTTTCGAGACCATCGTCGTATTTTAGCTAAGTTTAGGTGTGGAATTTTACCATTGTATGTTGAAACGGGTATATATACCAAGCCTTCTATACCACTTCAGGAAAGGCTTTGTAAATATTGTAAAAATGTTTGTACATATTTTATTGAAGATGAATTTCACTTTTGGATCAAATGTACTTGTTTATAAAATATTAGATTTAACCTTTATGAGGCAGCCGCAGAAAGCAACTGTAATTTTAATCACCTTTGTGATGAAGATAAATTGTTTTATATAATGAATTCCGATGTTTTACAAAAAGAATTTAATAATACCAACTGCACTTTATAAAATGTTTAATAGACGGCAAATGGCGGATTAATGTTAATTTTATATATACAATGTATATCAAATTTATGCATTTTTATCATGATCATTTTAGGAATCTCCTGTTATTCCTTTTCTTTCTCTTTTGTTGTTTCATCGAGTCTGTTGTTGTTATCAGTGTGTATTATCTACAATCTTCTATCTCCCATATTATATTATATCATGTGTGTACTATTAATTGTTACGGTTAATAAATTGCCGAGACAAAAGGTTTAAAAATCCCCTTTGAACAAACAAAATATAACACAGACAAGTCTAAAATATTCAATAATATATTGAGCAAACAATGAGCAAGATACAATGAATCACAATACAGATTTCTAGTACAATGCAATTGAGTCACAAATCTAAAGTATTTAGTCACAAACATAAAATATCAACTCACCACGAGCCTTGGTAATTACAGTGAGATCAGATATTCTAAATGAAGCTTGTTTTTCAAATGAGAGCAGTCAGGCACGAAATGTCAGGGTCAGACTATGAAGGCAAACAACGATGGTAGGCAACTCCAGTGAAAATGAAAAGTCCTGTGTAATTCCGTGTGTCCGTCCGTGTGTGATTCCACAACAACCAGCCTTTATATACACTGGCACAGATTTTGAACATTCTTTATCCACTGAGAACATTCGCGAAACATGTGAAATATACGACCAGGGCCTCCTTTCACAAAGCACTAAGGTGATCATAAGTCACTAAGTTAACCTTAGTGCAATGTTAAAGAATGGGAGTTAAAGTTAACCTTAGTAAAGGTTGCTTCGTGAAAGGAGCCCCAGGACGGCAGGAGTCAAAACATAATAAAGCCAAGGGAGGCAACTCTGGAGCGCTATCCCAAAAGGCGTGCCGCTAAAATAATATTGCCATTGAACATATATGACGCAAAATGCGACCCACAACCCACACTCAAAACTTTAAAAATTGTGACTCATAATAACTATCACCTAACCTATGTTATTACACATTACAAAAAACACACTCTCGTAACATAATGTCCTAATAATGTATGTATAGTGTCTCGTAAACCCATGTATGGCTGGACGCACTTCCTTTAACCTGTTTTGTATGTGATTCTGTATTTTACTGTAAGTGTTGTGCGTGTGACACTTTAATAAACATTTTGCTGCTGCTACTACTACTACTACTACTACTACTACTACTACTACTACTACTACTACTACTACTACTACTACTGTTTTACATTATATACTGTTAACATCCTGGTGTAAAATCCGGACCCAATATTTGATTATTCTCACATATTGATGGACCTTAATAAAAAAAAAACCCGACACAATTCACCTCGAGCAGCAATACTTGGAGATGTTCTACCCAGATGGTGTACTTGTTTGTAAAAGTTGATATGGAGTTGTTGTTCTGGTCTGAAATAGTTGTAATGTTCATGATTGTCCATTCAGAGAGACACAAGTCGCTATTCGACTTGTCCCAGAATAGGACGAGCGGGTCATGAATGGGGAATATCTACACTTTTCAAGTAAAATGAGGTTGCCCGATTTTCTCATCATAGAGCATACGCCTAGGATTCACCTACCTAAATCCGAAATAAATCCCCAGGATTCATCTGTTTTCGTTCAACATCTGTTTTCAGTCGGCCGTTTGCGTGTTCATTTCTCGCGGTTATTAGCGAGATATTACGTCGCCAGACAGGTTAATTTTAGCAGGAGGTCGACTGCTTCAGCTCTGACTAACAAAATGCTTCGTGTGAAATTTAGTAAGGTACATGATTGCAAACACATGTAAGTGTTACGTTTTAGAACCGAGTTTACTAATGCATAAATTTTCAGCTCCCCCTTTTCAGTATAGCGTCGTCTGCTTGTTTATTGTATGACGTATCATTATCACATGGCATATCACGTGGCGTTGCCGTCGTAAAAATATATATATGGAAACTGGATAGGGTCATCTCTTATTACGATTTTCCAAAATACTCATTTAATTTTCGAAACTGCAATGAATATTTCTGTGTCATGGGCCCAGTGTACTCATCCTGCATGCTATCATTGGGTCCACCTCAAGCTGTGCACCTCCGTATGTGTAGTGAGATCTTCTGATGAGTTTTGGTGCCCTTGTCAGCGCGAACCGAAGGAGTGAAACATGCCTGGACATGTGATGTAACTAGCGAAGTCTTATCATGATTAACTTTGACATGAAATTATTACGACCATAGTTTCTAATAATTATTATTGGAACTATTACAAATATTCTTTTTGGACTGGATGTTTATCAACTTTATATTATAAAAATATCAGCATAGCACGAATACTGCTATTAGATTTCTGTTTTACGGAGAACCAATGAAGTGAACGAAAACAGATGACGTCACTTCCGCATTCACGATCTTTGCCTAGCGAACTATGAGGCCTGCTGTGCGGGTGAAACACGAGGTTAATCCGTCAGATATTTGAATATCATAAATAAATAACAAACAAACGAGGTAGGTGTGTTTATTATCGATTTATTCATGCACTTTATGTCACGTTGGTCGACAATCCTGACATGACCGAAAACCGAATACACAAGGATACTATTTTACCAGATTTTACCTATTTTTTTCTGCCTTGTGTTGATACAATTTTGCCATGGTTATTAGTGTTATTTTAGTATTGCATTATTTTAGAAACCGGATGTGTCCTAGACGATTGGTCAAAGGTAATCATTATTCCTATACATAAGGGGGAAATAAAAAGGACCCGATTAACTAGCGGGGGATATCCCTAATGAGTATATTTGGGAAACTATTCACTTCAATTATGCGTGAAAGACTTACTCTGTTGGCTAGTGTATATGATAAAGTAAGTATTCACAAGATGGCTTTTGGGAGGAAGACTCCACAATAGAAATAAATGTATTTATTTTAAACGCTGGTGTATGAGACAAAAAAGGGTGGAATGTATGCAGCGTTCATTGGCGTTAAGAAGGCGGTTGATACGGTGAAACGTCCAAAATTATGGAAGTACTGAGTAGAATTGGGATTAGAGGCAAGATGCTATAAACTATAATGAATATATATTCTAACGTAGTTAGAGTGTATTCTGAGTTGTTTATTGTCCCGTAGGACTAAAACAGGGTTGTGTTATGAGTCCAATTATTTGTATATATATATACCTGTTTGCTCTAAAAACAGAAAATTCTGATTGTTACGGTATACAACTACATGTATTCCCTGACATCGTGAAACTGTATTGTTGTTGCTTGCTGACGATATAGTTTTGTTTTCGAATCTTGTGCGAGAGTTACAAAAGCAATTAGATATTTTGTCTGAATTTTCAACCGAATATGTTCCCACAGTGATTTGGGAAAAATTAAAAATAATGGTATTCCGAAGTGGAGGCCCTTTAGCCAAAAGAGGAAAGTGTTTTCACAAAGGTATATAGTTATTGTAAAACAATATAGATATGTTGGTGACTGTGCTTTTACGTCCCAGTTATCATGGAAAACAACTACTGAACTTCGGGCTTTGGATGCCCAAAAAGCATTAACGAGTATATTACAAGCAATCAAAAGTAAAAATGGTATTAATAGATGTATTTTTCACAAAAAAATTATACTAAGGTGTTGCCTATATTATGCAATGGGTGTGAAATCTGGGGTCATACTAATTTTGACAACATTGAAAGAATCCATATTTTTGCTTGCAATACATTTTTGCAAGTGAGCAAGAAAACTAATTCCCATGCCGGTTTTGGTGAGTGTGGCGTTACCCTATATATACTTATACGTTAATAGGTTTATTAAATATTGGTTGAAATTAACAGCAATGCCCGAATACCGTCATGTTAAAAAAAGCCTACAATCTGCTTCTTCTCTATGATGAATCCAGGAAAACAAACTGGGTAACCGCTGTAAAAATGTATTATTTTCTGACGGCTTCATGTTCGTATGGTTTAATAAGAGTGATGAAAGATGTATTTTTATACCAATTTACACAAAGGATAAGAGACATATTTATCTCAGAATGGTATGCAGGACTCGAAGCGTCATCAACACTTTCTACCTTTCGTACTTTCAAAACAATGTTTGAACCAGAGAGATATTTGAAAGCTGTGACTATTCCAAAACTCAAACATATACTGGCTAACTTTAGATGTGGTGTATTACCACTTGAAATTGAAAAGGGAAGGGCATTGGGTATCTGTAGAAAAGAAAGATATTGTAAACTTTGTAAAGATGGAAGCTTTGGAAATGAATTTCATTTCATGTTCTTGTGTAAGGCATTTATTGATTTGAAAAAACTTATATCCCCCAAAAGTTCTTAAAAAAACACTGTTTCATGATTTCGTTCTGTTAACAATGATGATATAATTCAAAACACAGCTCAGTATGTTCATCATGGGTTTATGCTTAGAACATCTTGTTAAAATGACTCGTATTGCCTGCGAACTGTTTTGTATACATATTTTCCCTATGTAATTTGTTGTTTGGGGCCGGTGGAATGAAGCGATAATAAATGATGGTGATGATGATGATTCACCTACCTTTCACATATTCGTGTGTATATTTGGTATACGCTCACCTGGTATCATCACTAGTGATTAATAATCTTGATACAGTGGACATCGTACTGTCGGCTCTCATCGTGTCAAAGATTTGATGCATATCAGTGACAAAAATGATGTCCGATGCAATTCCCTATTTTGACTTATACCATACGTTCCCAAATAATTTCAGGTGAACAAATGACCAGACTTAGCATATGTTTATGACGGGTGCCACCGGTGGGGCAGGATACGCTCACCTTTCAGTCATCGTGCCGCATGGTGACAATCACTGGATTGTCTGGTTCAGACCCGATTTGTTTTACAAACAACATGGTACAGCTGTAATACTGCTGAAACAAATATCTGCTCATGATATAGTCACAATTGCACAATCGACTCTGCTTTTGGTAGAGTTCCTTATGAATGTGGAAAGGGGTTTGCCGCTTCTATTGTTGAATATGTTTTCTATCAACAACCAAAACCATTGGCATTATACGTGCGCCTCGCAAAATTTATCAGCACAGCGCAATCGCATTCCAAACGTGAACCAGTCCCGGGGGGTCAAATGTAACAGGTTGCCGTTGTATAAAACAAGATTGTCGTAAGTCTATGTTGAGGTGTGGGACTTACGATCACCTTAGCGCTAAGATTATTTTGTACAACGGGACCCAGTTCTTTGCGGGTAGACGTGCTGACTCAGCTCTTCTTTGGCAGCTCGACAACAAATTGTTGACGAGGATGTCCAAAACGTCAGCAACGATCTCAAACAAAGTTGGTGGGGTGTAAACATTCAGCATCTATGAACGTCCACAATTTTCATGATGTTTGACCTGAAAATTTGATATCAGCCCAGACCACGTGGTATACGATGTGTTCTATTAGACGTAACCGTTTTCAACCCTGTGTCATCTTGATTTTGAAACGGATTAACAAGGCTACGAGTATGGCTCACATGGACCCTGATGAGGAACGTGTATTAGTGAGTGAGTTAATATTTTCAAGTCACCTCGGCAATATTTCAGCCATATCGTGACTAAAACAAGTTCTAATATACATGATAAATACAGAGTTGAATGACAAAAACCTGCCAACGAAGGACAGTAAAATCACTTAAAGATCACAGATTTCGACATAAAACTGGTATGTAAATCCCAAACATGTTAGCTATAAAGACGATACAATATAAAACCAACTGAAGGTAGATCACCATACTAAGGACCATGGGGACTTAAAGTGCCTTTGCTACCTGCTTGGACCCTAGCTGGATTTACATCATCCCTTAATCCTTTGTCGATTGTAGGCAAATTTAGCCATAATTTAAAATGACAAAAAATACTACGTTATAAAAATCTGGTAAGTTTAAATTTACTTTGAATGTTACGGGAATTACGTGCCCTCTCAGGAGGACAATAATTTTACAATACTTTAACCCCCTTTGAAGATACAGCCACCAGCAATCTCAGTTACCCAAATTAAACTTCCAGTCATAAAATATACATCTATTTACAATTCAAATTAATAAACTCTTTTTCAGTTAGTTATATTTCTTGGAAATTTTTTTTAATTAAATGATAAGTTGCATTATTAAAAAGATCCTCTGCTGTGTTTGTACTGGGGCGGTGGGGTAACCTAGTGGTTAAAGCGTTGGCTCGTCACGCGGAAGACCCGGGTTCGATTCCCCACATGGGCACAATGTGTGAAGCCCATTTCTGGTGTCCCCCACCGTGATATTGCTGGAATATTGCTAAAAGCGGCGTAAAACTAAAACTCAGTCAGTCAGTCAGTCAGTCAGTGTTTGTACTGAAATATTTATCCCTTGTGATGGAAAAATCAATACAGTCAAGAAGGACATGCGGGGTCGCGATTCTTTCATCACAAAGGATGCAAAATGGAGGATCCTCACCTTTCAATGAGTATATCTTGAATGGCCAATGCGACAACGTCGCATTATGACCTCTTCTAATCTGGACTGATAGCCCAAGTTGGTATAGCCAATACTTGGCTTTATTCGATGTAATTTATTGATACCTTCCTGATTGTCCCACCCCTTCTGTATCAGATCACGGATTTCAGATATAGTGATAGTTTTGTAATCAGAATATGGAATGAGTAGTGGTGTCAAACATTTATTGAGTGCTGCCTCAGCAACACAATCGGCCATTGTGTTACTAGAAATGCCAGCGTGGCTAGGTAACCAACAGATTGCGATGTCGCATTGGCCAGTAGCAAGATCGTTATATAATTCAATGATATCGATTAAGAGTTGATGTTTGCAAGACAAATTTTAAATATTCTGAAGGCACGAAAGGGAGTCTTAAAAGATTATATATTGTTTATATTTAGGTTTTTTGTATATTTAAGAGCCGTTAATATCGCGTTTGCTTCTACTGGTAAAATAGAGCTGTTATCCGGTATTCTGGAAGGTATTGTTCTGGATCCAATGACAGAGCCACAAGCAAGTGCGCTACCATCCTTGGATCCATCTGTAACTGAGAATGTATATGTATTATATATACTTTTTAATTGATTAAATTCATTAGTTCCTGGTACTTTAAATGCTGTAAGTGTTAGGTCAACTTGTGACTTCTCTGATGTTTTGATGTATAAAAGAAGAAGTGAACCACGAAGACGGGTGACGTTTCGAGCTTCCCTACAAATACAGCCTTGGAAATGACAAAAGGATCTAATTTAATAGGAAAATGGTCTGTTGACTTGGAAATGGCAAAAGGATTCAATTTAATAGAAAGGTAGGCTGTTGCCTCAATCACGAGGAAATCAGAATAATTGAAAGAAACACTTCTTGATGTCTCTCCTTTTCATTACGCGGGGAACCAGATGGTTTTGAAACCATGATGAAAGGAAATTTGTTCAGCACCATTGCTCCCCACACACCATGGAGTGCCTACAAGGACGGTGTCAATATACACCGGATATCCAAGATGCTGACAACAGGGATACAGGAGTGTTATACTCCAGAGAATATGACATGAATAGCTCTATTTATCTACCAATTTAATGCTAGACTGGTACGGCCCTTGACACGAAATTGGAGACATACATTATTATTGGACACATTCTGCCCCTTGCCCACGCGGGGGAAGAGCTATTAGCGTTACCCATTACACACCACGAGGAGGTTGCTTTGCACGAGTGCCAGGAAAGTGTATTAACATGGCCAACCAAATGTTTGAATGTTACAATTTTGACATTCATAGGACCTAAAACATATGGACTCTTGCATACTCCTACTGCTCCAGGTAAACCTTTAAGCGAGACTTATGATACTATAATTGCAATGGAATTTTGAGAAAACAGTGATCTCCTAAAAGACTGAATCAACTGTTGGAAAAGATTTTTAAATATGAGTGGACCGAAATATGTAATAATATATATTTGTTGAAGTTAAGAGAATAATGTCATCGGACGAACTTTGGCACAGTTAATATGCAAGCTTACCTCTGAAGCATCACTGATTTGATAAGTACATGTATATGTGTTACACGTGAGTGAGTGAGTTTAGTTTTACGCCGCTTCTTTTGCAATATTCCGGCAATATCACGGCGGAGGACACTGGAAATGGGCTTCACAATGCATACACGTTGGGAATCGAACCCGGGTGTTCAGCGTAACGAGCGAACGCTTTAACCACTAGGCTACCCCACGAGACGTTTGATGGACATGAACGACCACCGCATATGCCTCAAGATCACTAACCCGCTCTGAAAAAAGAAATATGAACAGATTGACAAAGAGGCCTTGGATTTATTTTGAGTTTGGGCGACAGTTTACACTGATCACAAAACGTCAACCCATACCTTCAATCTGTTATCCACAGATAGGCCTCATTAACTGTGCCAGCTTCAGATCAGCTGTGTTCAAAGCCAATAGCGATTGTTCATGTATGTTTAACATATATGTTTGTTGACTTTACTATGATATATGACTGTACATTATACATGAATAAAGGATAAGGGCCCTTCTCCACACACTGAAAATCTTAAATTGTAAAGTAATGTACCTGTAAATCACTGGTATGACCCGAGATAATGGCTTGCATACAGTACCCGTCCTTTAATGTTTTTTTAAGAATATGCGTCTAAAAACCTGATGTAAAAGCATTTGGTAAACACTGTCTGACAACATCCTAGATCAGAGTGTATTTGCATGTGGTTGGTCATAGACCACAAACACACACTTGCTGAGTTGAATAAAGTTTAATTTCTTTCATATGAACATTTAATTTTCATAAAAATTACTTTCCAAGGTCTAGATTAGGCAAGTCAATATTTGCATAACATGTCACTTTTCATTTAATCCTGGCAAA